CTTCTTTTTTGGCCTATACTTATATGGACTGATTTTCACTACCTTCTAACTTGGGACTTGCCAAACGGGTTCTTGTGAGTTTTTTCCAGTTTTCTGGATTTGCGATGTAATACATCATTGTGTTCACAAGCTCCCATTCAAGATGGTGAAACCAGGATTACAGGTTTTATGCCCAACCGATTAGAAGCCACAATTACCAAACACAGATTTAACTCCAAAACATCACCAGTGGGATTCGAACTGTCAATCTGCCACTTGGGGGTGACACCTTGACCACTTCTCTAGGGTGCCACACCCTATTAAACTGTTTATTATTGTGATACAATTTTAATAATAAAATGCTAGATTTGTAAATAGACAAAAAACAATCTAAGTTCAAAATATAGTAAATTTCTAAATAATCTTTATAAAATTTTTAGAACAATTCAAAGAAAACTCAATTTTTATTATAGATTCGTATTCACTGTTAACTTTATATGAAATATATCGATCTTGGATTGACATTAATAAGAATATTATTTACAATATTAATCATGCATTACAAAATATATTAATATATGTACATATAATGATTACCAGATTAATTTAATTTACAATACCAATACATTCAGTACTGGTACACAATTGATAATTATAGTAAATCAGCTCCAATTTTTGCAAATTTTGAATAAACCACAATAACAAGCCTCATGTTTGTACAAGCCAAAAATAGGATATAGTAACAAAAAAGAAAAATCAATACTACATAAAATAGTAAATTTTTATATTTCAAATAAAACAAAACTTGATATATATTTGGTTTTACCTATATTAAATCAATAACCCAACTAGAAAATTCAAATTCTAATTATACTTAAGCATTGATGAATTTTAAAAATCTCATACAACCACAAATACAGAAACCGTATAACAAAATCATAAGTTGCGATCTTTTGATCAAATGCTAGGATTTGTTTATATCACTTAATTTGTCTATAAACTATACTCAACATACTTCATACTAGATTTCTGGTACAGTACTTCATAATCATATAAGGTAGCTACATGACGCTATCTCACAAAACCAGAAATGTAAATTTATGAATAAGCTAAAATTGTTTATACAGTACAGGCAGCTTTTCTAGACTGGTTCTAATAATTAATTAAAAATAATAGATTAAATTTATAAGGTACGTACTAGTGCATTAGCTGGTACTTCGTGCTATCTATTTTATTTAGTAATTTAAAATAAAAATTGATACTGTAAATTCTGAAATAACACCCTAGGTAAAATTACTATATTTGGTCTAAACTGAGCTTAACGGTTAGATAAAATATCATTTCTATATTAATGATCAGCAAATTCATTGTTCTCCAAAATTTGTAGCTATTGCATTTATATAAAAAAATCTTATAAATATTTATTTAAAATCTCACGATAAAACATGCAATAATTATTGTATTATTGCTTTTAAAGTAACAAGATTATATTTAACTAAATAAGCAATAAGCTTTAAAGCTGCATTTTATAATTATGAAAGTTATATATCTAAAAATATACCAGAAGTTAGTCTATTATAAGCCACAGAAAATTAAATATTTTATTACGCATTTTAAAAAAACTACAAATTTTTCTTAATAATTATTTTTTTATTTAATTATTTATTATATTATACTAATTTATATATATTTTTATAGAAAACAAAATATTACAAGCATTTTGGCTTTGTATTTTTTTTTTACAAATTGGCTCTAACAGAAGATAGCTACTTCTAGTCAAGATCTTTATGATATTGATACTAATATAATCAATTATATTAATGTATTGGACAGTACATATTTAGATCCAGATCAAGAATATGAATTACTTGATAATAAGAGTAGTTATAGCTTTACGAATCACTTTTGGAAAATACCTGGAACACCTTATACAGATAGTAGTAAAAATGACCATTTATATTTAGATATATTTTGTTTTTGTTTTTTTTTTAAGGTGAGGTTTTGCCTTTATCTTTATTTAGTAATATGTATTGAGAATCCACTAGGGGTTTCTCTGATCAATAAGACCAATAATTACAAATATTTTTACAAGAATAAGACTCAGACTATAGATATTTAACTATCTAATTTATCT